TCATTGTTAGTTATTCTACAAAATATGTATATGCCTGTGTGTATGTGTGTGCACTTCTGTGCGTGTGTATTCCTTCTTGTTCAATTTTTTTCCATTCCTGAAATGTTATCTACATAAAACTTTATTGCTTTAAATATAAATTAATGCAATTATTTTGCTTCTAGTCTCTATCCTTCTAAACTAATCTACATGTGTCTGCTAGGTCAGAAATTTATCATTTCCCTTTTCTGCCACCAAATTTTAAATGCTTCAGACACTCTTCATAGGATCAGAAATAATATCTTACATCAAGTAGACGGCATTCATCAAAGAAGACTCTTTTATACATTTAAACATTTAACTTTGATGCTATGTTGATTTATTGAGGATTGGAACAATCCTTTCTGACACAATTCCATGAGAGTAAAGGAAAAGCTGGAAAAGACAGCATTGAGTTTCCCCTTATTTACTCTGGTTGTGGAATTTTGATTAAGATTTGTCAAAAAATTTTGAAATTCCATTTGTACATTTTTAAACAAATACAGTCTAAGGATTTAGAGATTGATATTTTATGTAAAAACACATTTTTCTTTTTCTATGTCCCTTACTTATGAAAGCATTTTAACAAATTAAGATCAATTTGCTATAGAGGATGAAGTTTGTTTAACAATATTATAATTACGCATAATTTTTTTCAGAACATTTATCACCTCCTTATTTCTAAGGCTATAAATAAAAGGGTTTAATAATGGAATTACTATTGTATAAAATATTGCCACTGGTATATCTTTATCCCCTTCTTCAAATGGCCTAATGTACATGAGAAGACAAAAGTAGAATATTGAGACAGATAGAAAGTGAGCTGCACAAGTAGAAAATGCTTTACCCCTTCCCTCCTTGGATTTCATTTTGAAAATAGTGAAAAGGATGCAGAGATAAGAGGTCAAGACAGTGGCAATGGTAAACATTTGAATTGGCATTGAAAAAATATATATCATGATTTCATTGATGTAAGGGTCTGTACAGGAGAGTCTATACAGTGGAAGAATATCACAGAAAAAGTGGTCAATTTGATTAGACCTGCAAAAAGTTAACCTTAATAGAAGGCCCATATGAATCATGGAATGCAGGTTACTAGCTATGAAGGTCCCAACAGACATCTGCATGCAGAGTTTCTTGGACATCATGGTGTGGTACTGCAGAGGGCTGCATATGGCCACATAGCGATCATAAGCCATTGCCGCCAGAAGAAAGCAGTCTGCAGTTTCAGCAAGACACAGAAAATAAAATTGCACCATACATTCATAGAGAGAAATCCTTCTGTCCTCAGAAAAGAAGTTCTCTAACATCTTGGGGGTGATGGCACAGGAACAGCAGGAATCCATCAGAGCCAGGTTGCCCAGAAAGATGTACATTGGTGAGTGAAGACGGCGTTCCATGTGAATCAACACCACCAAACCAAGATTCCCCACCATGGTGATCAGATAGATGGCAAGAAACACCACAAACAGAAGGGTCTTCAGCTCTGGGTGGTCTGTAAATCCCATGAGGATAAACTCAGTTGTCAAGGAGTGATTCTCTTTAGGCATTCCTGGTTTCTCAGCTAAGATATAAATTGTAAAGAAATTCAATTGCGATTCTAAAGCAGATTATGTCTAACTCTCCCCTTCTAATTTCCCTTTGTACAAAAAGAAGAGCCTCTTCAAATTATCCTATGCTAGCACCTGAAAACTAGCACATTCACAGTAGGTCACGTCATGTGAGAAGAAATGTATTAGGGATTGTGTGTACAAAAATTGTTTGAGTCTGTGTGAATTTCTGGGGTGGAAAAGATTTTTCTACATAAATTATCTTATCCCAGTGTATAAATTCGTGATCTATATACATAAATTGCCATTTTCAATGTAAAAATATATTTTCTTATGGTATCTTTTCTTCCAGGAAACAAACAAACAAACAAACAAACAAACAAGTTTTAAATACTACCTGGGATTGATGTGATGTTTAAAATAAATTGCTCTTTTGACATTTCAAGTCTACATGTCTAATTTAAAAACTGCACAGAATCACAGTGAGTTTGAAAAATGCTTTCTCTAGCTTGGTAACCCTTCTCAGATAAGGTCACCAAGGGATATTTTAAAGAAAAATCTTTTAATCCTTTGAGACAGGGTAAGAATATAGATCATCTTTAGATATTCTTAATATATTAATTTGGATATCATTTTTACACTCATTTCAACATATTCTGGATTCTATTCTTATCTTAGTATGATTAATTTTCCTTGGAGTTATTACTCTTAATTATTCATTTATCCTAATACTTTTCTTCTTTAGTTTTAAGCATCCTACATGTATCTCTAGAATTATGAAATTTGGTGACAACACCCCCGCTCATAATGTGCATATTCTTCGTAATAAATACCTCTTTTGTATTATCTCATGTCTTCTGTAGAAACTAATGTCTTCATTTGTGGTGAGTCCCATGGAGATCCACATTTATTTGGTTGTTTAAATTTACAAACTCTATTAATTCCTAATCTGCTAAAGATTTATGGGAATTCAATGATCACCCAATTTATTATATATTTATTATAGTTTGGCAACTATAAAATTATAATATTTCAAGTGTAGAAACAGCACAGGTTTTACAGAATAATAAAATAATCTTTCTTCTAGGAATTGTTAAAAGTCTTAGACCTCGGCATACGTCTCTTAGACAATTTGGAGAAGAACCTACAATAATTACTCAAAATACATTGTTTTAAAAACATATTTTTGTTTATTTATCTGTTTCCAATTCTTGTCTATAGTGTATTTAATATACTGTTTTTCTATTCATTCAAATAATATGGTGAGATTTTCTGGGGTTTTATCTCATGAGGCTTGTAAATAAATGAATAAAATAAATTTTCCTTTCAATTTTAGGTCTATAACTCTTCAAAAATTCTTCAGAATTACAATATTTTGAAAAAAATTTTTGTAAAAATATAAAAGTACTGCTTTTATCATTATTTTAGTAACATCTAATGGTTAATCAACAGAAAATACCTATTATGGGACTCCAGAAAAATAGGTTTAGTTTTCAATAATNTTATTTTAGTAACATTTAATGGTTAATCAACAGAAAATACCTATTATTGGACTCCAGAAAAATAGGTTTAGTTTTCAATAATAACCATTTTATATAGAAGATACTGTATCACAATAAAATTAATAAAAATTCATTTTATTTTTTCCAAAGCAAAATATAATTATTCAGTTGAATCAAAAATCAATTTTACTATACATCTCAGAATTATTTCACAGCATCATTTATGGCCTAACCTGTATATTTACTGATAAAACTATTGTACTTTTGAACTCAGAATAGTTCAGAATGATCCACTTACTGTGTCTCATGATGGCTTTCCATAGTGTCTTCAACTTAGAGGCAAACCAAGAAAATAATTACGCACATAAAATGCAAAAACAAAAAATACTGAAGTATTTTAGAGAAATGTGTATTTCTGCATCTTAATACTATAATACAAATAAATTAGTAATCAGTCCTCATTATATTTAGCTCACAGACAAACATTTTATAGTAGCTAATTGGCCATCTGATATTCTTTGTTTTTAGGGATTTTCAAGGCATAAGAACTTTGATCTTTGAAATATTGGAGAATAAATTATGAAAATCTGGGACACTCTTTACCAATAGGTCAGTGACAATAATTATGTTAACCTCAGGGCAAAGTTATAGTTTTCCATTGATTCTAAAGGGATTTCCTTGCCATTAGCATCAGGGTATTTCTGCAGACACTCCTAACCAGAGAGGCATGGTTCCCAAAGCACCAATAAATCAGCATTAATTAAAGATGGATGCATTTTGACATTCTGAGGTTAAATCAAATGGCCATCACTAAAGGTAGCTTTAGCATCATCTTGAATTTCACATACTTGATCTCTGTCTCTCAAATCTTGTTTATCCTGTATATTGAGATAAAAGAATCATATCAATTGCTTGGAATAGAAGTTAAACAGAGACTCGAAGAAAGATTTGGAATCATGGAGAAGAGGCAAAAATGCGTTGTGATCAACCAGCGTTGCATTCTTTTCTTTCATTCCCTACTATGAATTTGACAAAATCCTATAGAGGCATTCTCTGAAACAACCCTGACTTGTTCTTTAGTTTCACTTATGTGTCATAAGGTAACTTAAAAAAAACTTTACTGAAGTATGATTGACATACAAAAAGGTGTGCATATTTAACATAAACACCTCAATAAATTTGGAGATAAGTATATACCCCATGAAACCACCACGACCATCAATGGCTTAATTATAAGATAACTTTTTAATTGGTCTTTAATCTCCATTCTTTCTCTAGTGTAGATATACCCTTATGCACTAGAAATGATTTTGGCTCCTCATTACTCTCCAAACTAAGTCTTTGTCCTTAGTCTCAGTACTCCAAGGTCTGCATACACAAGGCTTATATTATCTATGACTTTAGTTTCTACCATTCACCTGTAAGTACACATCTCCAGAGTCACACTCATCACTTGTCTATTCCTTGATGCACTTGAGTTCAATCCTGACTCTGAATATTTACTCAGAATCTATTCATCTGAAATGTCCTCTTTGACCTATTTCCCTATCCAAATCCCATTCGAACATTGTATGACGTCTGATTTCCACCATGAAGACATCCTCAACTTTTCTATCTGCAACATAATTACATCTTGATTATGCAAAGAGGTCTTAATCATGCTTCACTTGTATGTTCATCCTGATGTTATTTATCTTATTTTAAGATGGATTAATGTTTTTATTTTTGGCTTTACACACTGCAAAACTCTCAGAGCTCATGATAACATAGGCCCTCAATGAATGCTTATTGAATTGGCTGCAGAAATTAAAATTAAATTAAATTAAATTTTTATAGAGTGATTATAAAAGACATGAGGGGCCCATGGCAGAAGTGGAGTTGGACAGAAATCTGCATAAATTAATAAGAAATAATCCTGTCCCCAGAGAGCTCCCAAACTAGAGAGTTAAATCACATACAACTACATATAGAGCAACTCGGACTTAGTTAAGTATTAAAAAACAGAACTACAAGAAAGGTATATGAGAATACAAAAAAAGAAATTATTATATTACAAAAAATGACATTTCTTATGAGTCTTGAAGGATAAATTAAATTTCAATAGGCAGAAAATGTGTGGCAAGGCATTATAGGCTGAAGAAATAACATGATTAAAGGTAAAAGCATGGACACTTGAAAGCACAAAGCGTGTTTATAGAATGGAGAATAACCATAGCCAGAGTCTGGGCACATCCTAGGAACAGGAGGAATTGAGAAGCTCAGGATGTAACTACCCTCTCACCAAGATCACTGCTCATCTCCTAATCATCAAATGTAAAACATTTTTGCCAACTATTATCTTAATTAATTAACTATATAATTTTGCACTACTGACCACACTCTGAAACTCATTTCCTTCTCAGGCTTCTGTGATAACACTTTTTATTCCTACATCTCTGGCTATTCCTTTTCCATGTTTTCTATTAGATCCTCTTTCTTTTTCTCACAAACACATTCATTGAAATGAGAAAGTGCATAACCGGCCATCCCTATATGGGATCCGAACCCGTGGCCTTGGTGTTATCAGCACCGCACTCTCTCGAGTGAGCCACGGGCCGGCCCTATAACATATTATTTTAAAGATCATTTTTATTATAAAATTAACCATGTAAGTGGGATCCCATATCATTTCACACACTCATGGCTTCAACTTCTCTGTGTCAGTACCTTGCCCACGATTGATGGAACTAATAATTTTCAAATGGAATGGTATCTCTACTTGTTCTATTCATTGATTCATCATGCAAAAGTTTTTCATGATAAAGCAACACATTTTCTTTTTTTGCCATACTGCCTTTCTGTGTTATTTCAAGCATGTTTTAAAAATCTCTAAGAGCAATTATTTATTTATTTATTTATTTTTATTTTAACTTCTCAATATACAATGTAGTTGATTTTCGTGACCCTTTACCTGTTCCTCTCCCCCCCTTCCCCTCTTACATCATATCTGTTCACTTCTCTTAAGTTCAAGGAATTGTTGTGATTGTTGTGTCTTCTTCCCCCCCCATTTGTTTGTGTGTTTATTTATTTATTTATTTTTAGCTCCCACAAATAAGTGAGAACATGTGGTATTTCTCTTTCTGTGCCTAACTCGTTTCACTTAATATAATTCTCTATAGGTCCATCCATGTTGTTGCAAATAGCAGTAATTCATTCTCTTTTTATAGCAGAATTCTATTGTGTAGATATGCCACATTTTCCCCATCCACTCATCTGATAATGGATATTTGGCCTGGTTCCAACTCTTAGCTATTGTAAATAGTGCTGCAATAAACATGGGAGTACAGGTATCCCTTCAGCATGATGATTTCTATTCCTCTGTGTATATTCCCAGCAGTGGGATAGCTGGATCATATGGTAGATCTATCTGTAATTGTTTGAGGAACCTCCATACCATTTTCCATAAAGGCTGCACCATTTTGCAGTCCCACAACAGTGTATGAGAGTTCCTTTTTCTCT